AATGTTAGCCTCTCAAGTCAGTCACAGTGTACTTTTAGTAGTGTTCCAGTTCATAATTCACAGGTTTCTTCTGAACAAAATGTGTTGAAACATGCCTCTGTGATTAGTGGATGGTTGCAGACAAGTTCTCTTAGTAATACACTTACTTGTCTTAGTCTTGTTAGGGTGCCTTCCGTAAAAGGGGGGTGCATTTTATTCCATGGCAGAAAAATGATTTTGAGGTCGGAGCTAATACCAAATTTTAACAAACTGTAGTGGGCACCTTCCCAAATCATTGAAGCTTTGCAATAAATTTTTGGGACTGCTGCCTCACATAAAACAACAGTTTTTAGATTGATCAATCATTTTAAGAAAGAGCAAGAAGACTTCAAAGATAAGCCCCCCAAAAGAACAGCCATCAGTCTGGATAAAGAAAATGTAAATTGGTGGAGGAAGACTGTAGAATTGGGGTCTTGCTACAGGGTTCGGCATTTAAAATTGTGAACAAGTTTTGGCTGGCTGGGTGCCAAAAGAATTGTGTAAAGATCAGCCAGCTCAAAGAGCTGATCTTTCCAATCAATCTTTCAAGCAAGTTCAAAGCTAATGAAGATGATTTTGTGGAACAAATCACAACTGGGTCTGATGCGTCTTAAACTTACCAATACAATCCAGAAAGCAAGGCAGTGGTAGGTTTTTTTTTTATTTGCGGGGGAAGGGGTGTTCTTCTAGCCAGTTAAATTCAAGCAGAGAGGTCAGTTTACAGCAGTTGTTTTTTGGATTCCATCCATCAGTAATTTTGATCTTCCTGAAGGACACAGGATTTCCACAGGGGCTTATTCTGAAGCAGTTTCAAGAACATTGAAACTTACCCCATCCACCCGACAGCCCTGATTTTGCCCCATTCAGGCTTCTTTTTGTTGCCCAAACTCAAAGAACATTGAAAAAGAACATGGTTTTAGCCCTTCATGGATGCCAGAATTGCCATTTTGATATGGTTTAAATTGAAGACCACAGAATTCTTTGGTAAAGGGTTATGGAAGAGAGATGGAAACCCTACCTTTAAAAGTGTGTATACTTAGACAACGGATGTATTGAGAAATAGCTTCACATGTTGATATTTTTGTTTAATAAAACAAATAAGAAAAATGATTTTGAGACCAGGGCTAATACAAAAAATCTTTGATTTTACACCCATATTTTTTTAAGTTACTCTTGTATATCTGTTAGCCCCTCTTGTGTTTGAAGTCCTCTCTACTCTGTTACCACAGAAATAAGGAAGGTCCCTGGGATTTTGTACTGAGAATTGATCTATTACTTGGCATTCCATCTTTGGTACAGCCACTAGAATTTTGCTGCTCTGTTTACCTCTCCATTCTCTGTGACTATACAGTTCTATTGCTGAACAGCTTTTTAAAATGTATTGTTTATCTATTTCTTTCATACTTTTATTGAGGGCTCTTACATCTCTTATCACAATCCATACATTCATCCAGTGTGTCAAACACATTTGCACAAATGCCACCATCATCATTTTCAAAGCATTCTCTTCCCACTGGAACCCCTGATATCAGCTCCCCATTGTCCCCCTCCCCTCCCCCGCACACACTTCCTCACAAACCTCTGATAAGTTATAGATTATAATTTTAATATCTTCCATCGTCCTCCTTCACCTCTCACCCACTTTTCCGTTATTTGTCCCCATGGTAGAGGGTCCCTCCTGGTATCTCTACTCTCCTTGTTGGCCCTGAAGGGTTTCTCTATCCTGGATTCCCTGTGTTGCTGGCTCTTATCTGTAGCAGTATGCATGTTCTGATCTAATCTGATTTATAAGGTAGAATTGAGGCCATGATAGTGCGGGGATGCTGAGCAGCTTTTAACAGCTTCCTATTGTTCCTACAGAGGAGCCCTGGTATTGTAGTGCTTGTGCATTGGCCTGCTAACTGTTAGGTCAGCAGTTTGAAACCACCAACGGCTCCTCGGAAGAAAGACGAGGCTTTCTACTCCTGTTAAGAGTTACAGTCTTGGCAACTCACAGAAGCAGTTCTAGCCTGTCCTATAGGTCACTATGAGTAGCTATTGACTTGATGGCAGCAAGTTTAGTTTTAGTTTGGATGGACTGTTCCTACAACCGGTAAGACTCTCTCAATTTGGCATTCAAGTCCTACCATGAGCAGGTCCTGACAGACCCCGAGTAGCCCTCCGTTCTCAATGGTTTGCTCTCGCCGTCTGACAGGTCTCCAGCTATGCCTCAAGTGACTCCCAGGCTCTTCAGGAATGCCTTGTACCTGCTCCCCCAAACTTCTCACTTCTGTTAGCAGCTTGGCAATATGCGCCTCACAGTGTGGCTGAGGGAGTACCCTCAAGATCCGGTGGGCATAGTTCTGGCTTACAGGTGAGGAACCAAAGCTCACAGAAGTTGAGCAAGCTTAACCTGCACAAGGAAACGGGTAGGCAGTTGTTGCTACCTGATCTGACTTTCCATTAGGCAGCACTGTTTATTGACTGGGTCTTGACAGCTAATATTGAGTATTGTCAGCACTTTGCTCCGTTTAACGTCCCAGTGCAACAAACTGAGGTGCAAGCAGGAAGTGGGCAAAAAAGGGAGAGGCTGTCTTTGGAGGAATGCCCCTGGTAGACCCTCACCTTCTCCCTCCCACGTAGCTAAGTTTCCCTGTGGACGGACCGCGAAGAAGAAGCGCATCAATTTGAAGCGTGACCTAGACCAAATGGACCCACGTCTTATCAATGGGGAGCTAACCGGATGGGGAGAGAGCCCCTGGCAGGTGCGTGGGAAGTAGATGGGTCTTCCTGCACTGTGTGTAAACATGGGAAGGGAAGTTTTAGCTTGATCTAGATGAGACAAGAATGGTGGTGGCAGTGATGCCCTATCAGGAGAGATCGAGGTAACATGCTGGAAGAAGAGTGGCTATGCAGGAAGGCCATAACTCTGCCGGTGGCAGTTTTTGACAGAAGCCTGTTTCATGGAAGTGGTGTCTTGCATGGGAGAGGCTAAGGGCAATATTGGCTTCAAAATGTATGTACAACCTCAACACAGTAATTGACCCTGCGTTAGTCCCCTTCTCTACCAGGCACTGGAGGTACAGAAATCAGGATGTAGTTTTTGGCCTGGGTCAGCTCATAGACTCTGGGAGGATTGGGTCCCTAGCATGACGATTATCCATTGAGACCATGACTAGGGGGGTGAGAATAGTCCAACTTAGGGCTTGGCCAGGTTCCAGCTCCCAAAGCCAAGAGGCATTCTGAAGTTCCGGTGGGGTGTGAGTGAGAAAGATCTAAAAACAGCATGGCCAAGGGCAGGGAAAAGGTCTGGAAGAGGTCATGGCTGGGACACATAGGAAGAGAGAAAATACCAGAGAAGGGCAATAAACCTGTGACCACATCACCAGGGGAAAGTCCAGCCAATGAGCCACCATCCCAGACTAGAAAACCATGTGGCAGCAACTCCAAGACCCCAGGGTTCTGGACAGAAAGTTGCCAAAGCTGCATTATGATGGCAATTTCTCACTTTCATTGCAGGGGATCCTGCTGGACTCCAAAAAGAAGCTAGCCTGTGGGGCTGTGCTCATCCACCGCTCCTGGGTACTGACGGCCGCCCACTGCCTGGAAGATGCCAAGAAACTCATCGTCAGGCTTGGTGGGGGCTAAAGTCAGGCAGGCACCCTAGAAATTGGTGGGGCCAGGCAGATTGTCCAGGTGCTTGAGTAAGAGATTAGTTGAGCTCCACAGGTGTAAGGGGTGGGCTCTGCAGTGGCATCTCATATAGGACTTTGTCTTGAGGCCCCTTAAAATATGGATACAGTCTGAGGGCAGGTATGTGCACATCAGTGTTTCAAGTAAGAGGTGGTGCACCCACCCACCTCTTCCTTTCCACCCCTGTGGGGCAGGTGTGTGGACTACCAGTGTCTTTGGGAAGCAGAGGTCTGTCGGCATCCACCTTGCCTAACCTGGTCTACCCCTGCCTGGAATAAACTGGCATCAGTTCACACCATGAGCTTCCCCTGCCACTTTCGGACTTGGCTGGACCCTTCTCTGTAGCAGGCGGGAGGTCCTCGTTACCTAGGCCCCTTCGTATAAAAATGTTAAGAGGGGCTCTCACAGGTTTCAGACAGAAAAGAGAACTCACACTTAAAATTAGCTTCAGCTCGGGATTCCCAGCCCTTCATCCCCTGCACCAGTAGATCCATTAGCCCTTCCTGAGAGAACTGTCTCAGTGTACGGTGCAGATTTTTCCTTTTTTGGCACATCCTGTCCGTCTGCTTCCTCTTCATGGAGGGAAGGGTCTTCCCCACTAGAGGGTCTCCCTCCAGCTACAATTGCTCCATATTGAGGTTTTGCTCTGTATCAGCAGCGAACTCCCTGCCATCGGCTACCACCAGTCACTTCTCGGGCTGTGCTGGCACCTGCAGTCACAAAACTGGAGCTATAAGTAAGCCATGCATTCAGAGCCCTGCTCTGCCTTTGGGATCAACACCAATGGGCTTCTCCTGGCAGGCACTCGGTACCCTTACCAGGCATCTTCAGTGCAGATGGGTGACCCTTAGGGCCATCCTGAATGTGCAGGAGAAAAGACTTCATCACGAAATCAGAGTTAAGCACAGCAGGCCCTTCAGGAAGCTCTCCCTACCCATTGTGATCCACCCTTCTACTTCTACAGGTGAGTATGACCTGCGGCGCCGGGACAACTGGGAAGTGGACTTGAACATCCAGCAAATTTTCATCCACCCCAACTATACCAAGAGCACTAGTGACAATGACATCGCGTTGCTGCACCTGGAAGAGCCGGTCATCTTCTCACAGGCCATTGTGCCTATCTGCCTCCCTGACAGTGGCCTCTCTGAGCGTGAACTCACCCAGGTTGGCCAGGAGATGGTGGTGACTGGCTGGGGCTTTCGCAGCGAAACTAAGAGGAACCGCACCTCTATCCTCAACTTCATTAAGATCCCCATGGCCCCACGCAATGAATGCATCCAGGCCATGCACAATGTAGTCACAGAGAACATGCTGTGTGCAGGTATCCTTGGAGATCCCCGAGATGCCTGCGAGGGTGACAGTGGTGGGCCTATGGTCACTTCCTTCCATGGCACTTGGTTCCTGGTGGGGCTTGTGAGCTGGGGTGAGGGCTGTGGGCGCCTGCACAACTATGGCATCTATACCAAAGTCAGCCAGTACCTTGACTGGATCTATAGCCACATTGAGTCCAAGAAAGTCTCCCTGGAGAACCAGGCTCCGTAGTGTCATCTAGCCTGTCAATGGCCTTCAGTGAACATTAAACAGTGCGTGCAGTAACCACACAGCCTGTTAACTGTGTCTTCTGTCCTCCTGAGCTGTTGTGGGGTGAAATTACATTTGCGGTGCACCTGCCCACTCTTTATGAACAGATTCTTATTTAACCTCAGTCCTGAGAGAGGTAGAGGAGCAGGTTCAAGTTTTGTGGGGTCTGAATCTGATTTTATAAGTATATATAAAATCATATATATATATATATATATGAATTTTCAACATGCTAGTGCCCCTCCTAAGGCCTTTGAAGGGGCCCTATGCAAATTAGTTCCTGATGCTTAAGTTTTAGTAGCCTTAGAGTAAGCTTAGTGATGGAGGTAGATATTTTATCTCTTTTTGCAGATGAAGAACAAGCTCAAGAAATTTTTACAGGGTAGATCCAGGATTCAAGTCTAGACCTGACTGCAAACCTCACATCTTCCTCTCTGTTCCCCCCTTTTGGAGGGTAGCTGCTTAAAGAATGGGTGGGCCTAGGATGTGATTACAGCCAGAAGGTTCCTAAAGTGTGGTTGGGGATGCCATGTAAGAACAACGCACACAATTATGATTTGAAGTAAGCAAAAGACTCTGGCTTTACTACCTTGTAAACATAACTAGATAAGACAGGGAAATGAATTAGAATCCCTGATTTGAAATCATTAATGCCTGATTGGAAGGGATAGTGGTGAGACAGAGCAGGGAAAATTAGGCCTGTCTGTGACCTCAAACAAGTCAATTCTTTCTGAACCCTAATACACTGAAGGGGTTGGACAAAACCAGTGGCTCTCAACCTTGCTGTACGTTTTAGTCTCCTGGAGAGCTTTGAAACATGATTGTGTCCACTCTCACTCTGAAAGTTCAATGGAATTGTCTGGGGAGGAAGTAGGAACCCAGACATTGGTATTTGTGAGATTCCCAAAGTGATTGTAGCATGCCTGAGATTATAAGCACCTGGACTAGGTGATATTTCTCCGTGATAGGCTCTAGCTCTGAGACGGAGATGATAAGGATAATAACAAGTACAGCACAATTCAGTCAGCAGAGAGGAGAAGCTGATTTGTAATTGCACCCAACTTCTCCAGACCACTGCTACTTGGAGCAGAGGGGACTCTAGGACCAACTGAGCTAGTTTGGTGCAGACACAAGAAAGGAAGTTCTCCTGGGTCTGGGCTTGCAGAAGTCACCTTTTTAGCCACCTCTAAGGTAGGCTTAAGGACAGGTGGGAACTGATGGGATGAGGGAGGAAGCCACTTGAAGTATTTCAGAATATAGAAAAGAAAAGGCTACCCCTGTGTTGGGCTGGGTTGTTTAGAGAAACAAAACCCAGTGACTCTCATATATGTCTAAGAAATAACTTTATTTCAAGAAATAACTTTATCTGAAAAAGGCTTCCAAACTCAGCTCAACACAAGTCTTTAGACACAACGTAACTGCTGGCTGATGATGCAGAAAGGTGAAGTAGGAAGCAGGAAGCTTACAGGCCAGGGGTGCAGAGTCCTGTGAACCCAAGATTGATGGAAACATGACAGAACACCAACAGATCTCTAGGTCAGCTCCCAGTGAAAGTGGCCCACATGGGGCCTGTCCCTGGAGGCGTACACAGAACCCTAGCAAGGAAGAAGGCAAAGGGCAAGCGGGAGGAGAGAAATTCTTACTGTCTCTCTTATAAAAAGGCCACACCCCCAAGGAGGCACTATCAGATTGTAACCTGATTGATAGGTTGGACTTCAACCCTACACTTTCACAATGGTGCAAGTTGATATAAAATCTAACTGCCACACTTCCAAATTCATTTTTTGAAGCAAGCATAACCCAGAAAAACAAGGCATCACTACAAAAGAAAGTTATAAAACAATATCCCGCTTGAACATAGACACAAAAATCATAACAAAATTTAGCAAATAAAATATAACTACAAAGAATACATCATGGCCAAGTAGGATTCATATCAGGCATGCAATGATGGTTCAATATAAGGAAAACAAATCCTGCCCAGCTATCAAAAGATATAGTGTCTGGGATCTTAAAGGCTTGAAGGTAAACAAGCGGCCATCTAGCTCAGAAGCAACAAAGCCCACATGGAAGAAGCACACCAGCCTGTGTGATCACGAGGTCCCAAAGGGATCAGTTAGCAGGCATCAAAGAACAAAAAATCATATCATTGTGCGCTCACCTCCATGATACGATTGCTGAAGACAAATGGGTGCATAAGCAAATGTGGTGAAGAAAGCTCATGGTGCCCGGCTATCAAAAGATATAGCGTCTGGGGTCTTAAAGGCTTGAAGGTAAACAAGCGGCCATCTAGCTTAGAAGCAACAAAGCCCAC